GAGAGAGAGAGAGAGAGAGAGAGAGAGAGAAAGAGAGAGAGAGGAAAAAGAGGGCACTTATTGAGCCAGCTCGGCTAAGCACATTTGTATGTACTCTGCATGCGGTAGTTGATTCGAGTCTCTCAAATTGTGATTCACTTCTTTAACCTCTGCTGCAAAATAAGGATTCCGAGTCTGACACCTGGTCCTACACCCTGACTATCATCTTATTCTGCCCTTCCACCTTCCGGGTCAAGAGGGGACACAGCGGATAAATGATCAGGAGCTGGAGGCGATAAGCATGCCTGTTGATATTTGGGGTCACGTTTTATGTCATGCAGAGGGAGATTGAACAAGATAGGGATCTCTGAACAACCTTCTGATGAGTGCTTACACACACACACACACACACACACACGCTAATTATACATTGTTGTACCTCATCAGTCTTGGTGTGACTTCATTAGCAACCCACTGGAACTTCAAACCTTCTCATTAGTTTTTCTATGGATGAGTTTCATCAGAACTCAAGTGCCTGGGACAGAAGGTCAACCACCCTAGAGTCAAGAGATTCAGATATTTGCTTTGCAGTCTCACATCCACATTTTTTCCAGGGCATTATATTTTAGGAAAAAAAAAATTAGAAAGACAAGGAATCTGCTGGCACTGGCTCTATTCACTCTCTATTTTGCTAATAACAATGCGTCAGTGACTTTTCTGGATTTTTTTTCTTAAGTTCCTAGTTCCCATCCATATGGATGCCAGTCTGACTTAGAATTTGATCTAATGACTCCATTGATTTTCATGAACATTAATTGGGCTATGGAACTTTGGACAGTGTACTTTGTTATGTGGCTATTGTGAAAATGGATCTGTACCTCCTGCAACTGAAAGTGGATAGTACTCTCCAGAGTTCTTCAGGCAAAATGGAATTCAGAGTTAAGGAGTTTGATTGATGCTCTTTGTTTGCTTCAGAAAGAATAGGATGGAACAGTCTCAATCAATCCATTAAACTTGAATAACTTGTTCAGGGTCCTGTCATATGGGTAGGTGGAAAAAATCCAAAAAAAAGTAAATAAAGAGATGGAATAAATGCATTAAAATTGTTTTATGTATGAGAAAGAACAATTTGAGTCAGTCATCATAGATAAGTATACTTTTAGCACTTATATTCAAAACCCATAGACTCACTAAATAATTTAAGCTGGATTTTTTTTTTATTCATGCATTTTTCTTCTATGCAACAATCAAGTATTTCTTGGGATAATTAGTTAGAATTAAAAATTGAAGCTTAGCTTCTTCAGGACTTTGATTTTTCTCCATAAAAAAATAAATAGTTCCTTGAGTCTCTTGGGGCCTCAGCTGAGTTCACTAGATCTGGGAATGGACAGGTGCATTCAAGTCTCAGGGGTGTTCAGAGCACAACGTGGTGTTACCCCTCATGGCCTCAAAGGGCAAATTTTGTTGGGACACATGCTTAGACCCAAGGAGGAGATGGTGGGGTCAGAACAATCAAGACTTATAGGCAATATTTTAGGTCATTTAGCATGATAGAAATATTCTGCAACTCTACATGATTTTCCTTAGCCAAATTATGGTAAATGAAGGTAGCTTTGACATAAGACATCAGTGAAAACTTGAGTAGAGTAGCTGTCAGGAGAAAAGCCAAACTGGGGTAATGTAAGATCCACAGGACGCGCACAGAGGACTCCTTGCCTGGGAGTGGAAGGCAGCGTGCGCACCTGTGGTTGGTTGTCACTTCTGTAATTTTTCATTGGGACGTAGCTGGCCACATAGGTGTGTCCTTTACTAGAGCTTTGCTTGTGGTGGTGCATGTGAATTAGGAAGGCTAGTTTTGTGGCCATCTCTGCTAATATTTGCCAAGTCACATCACAGAATTGAAAAGGTCATTTCTGGTGTTCATATCCATACTTGCCTGACTCGCTGAAGTGGACACTGTGAATTGTAACATGGACGTGTGCTTCACGCCGACCACTCGCCTGGGTTCCCAGCCATCCTAGACCCTTCCTTTATGGGAGGTGAATAGCAGATTTGAAATGTAGAGCTACAGCTCATTTCTCATTCTTCCCATGAGACTGCCATTGAGGGGCACCATGCAATGTCAAGAGAGCATTGAGTCCTCTCATGTTCCCCCAAGACTCTCACGCTTTATTTTACTCCATTGTTGATACAGGCAAATGAGAAGCAGAAAATATAGAGCTAGTATTTCTGAATTGCATTTCTTAGGTTTCCAGCTCACTAATAATGTTAAAGCATGATTTTGATGGGAATTGGATTTTTACTGTATATTTACAACATAGGATTTCTTTTTTTCTTTTTTGGAAAAAAATAATTTCTTTAACATAGCCATGAGCAAATTCTCAGAAGAGGTTATCAACAAACTTTGGGTGAATAAATGAATGACTAATATATGGATAAACATTAGCTAACCCCTTTTTCAACATGTAATTGGCCAACATAGGAATAAGAATGTCATAGGCTTTTTTTTCAGCAAGATATTTCCAAAACTATGTGCATGAGAGTTAACTTGTGTATTTTGCAGTGTTAATTTTGTCAGAAATCAGCATTCCAGTGTTCCTTACAAGACCTATCCCTTAGCTTCCTACCCTGCCCCATGGTGATGGCCCACTCTGATCTCCTGATTGATATACAAGTTGGGGAATGGGAGGCAAGAGATTCTGAAATAGGAAAGATCACAGTGGTGAACTACAGTTCAGATGAATCTCTTGTCCAATTTCTCTGATGTCTCTCTTCTGTTTTGGTCTTTCTCCTATAGCTTTCTCTCTTTTATCAGGAATTCAGAGTCTGAAAGGTAGATTTCACCATAGCATGGGCAAGCAGAGTCTTATTTTCTCCTTTCTCTGAATTATCCTGCGGTCATTCTTACCAATGCCACACCTTTTTTCCTAATACCCCCAATTTTTTCACTAATCAATTCACATTGGAATTCAGAAAGACTAACATTATAGCATTCACCAAAATAAGATTTTAGGTTTACTTAAATAATAGTCAAATTATCAGATATTTCATAAAGCAGAATGAGCAGTGGCAGTTTCAGATGCTTAGTGTGTGCAGAATACCTTATCAAGGGCCATTCTTTTCATCAAAGAAAAAGCATCCAAGTGCTTTGCAGGGACCCATCATGGTGGTAACCACTGTTTGGGCTACTGAGTGACCCAGCAGGCCTTCCAGAACTGAGAGGATAAACAAAGATGTCAAGACCATCTGGCCAGCTTGTGCTGTGCCAGCTGCTGACATCTGGACTGTTCCTTGCCTGATGGATTGACATTTGAACGGTCTTGGGGAAAGTGCAGGTACATTCTTTGTCTAGCTTAGCACATAAACTGCTTCCTCCTGCGGTGGTGTGAGGGACCTGCCAGGTCCACTGTGACCAAGACGTGCTTTCTTCTGTGAGCGCTAGTAAACTGCAGTCTGTGAAGTCCTGCCTGTGCTTGTCTGTCTCTTTCTTCAATCTCTTGGCACTGCCCACCTTTGGTGATTGAACTGGGTTTTCCTGAATATGACCATACACCTTCACGTTGGAATTGTTATCATACCCCACTGTGTGATAGAGGAAGTGGGTCCCTCCAATGCAAGAAGGATCCTCCTGGTCCTCTAAGTGAGCAAGTGCAGTGAGATGGTAATATGGGATGAATTCTGAGGTCTGTCCAAGACTGAAGACTGAACGTGGAAGTCTTTACGGTCCATAGAACTAACCATTTACCCTGTGAGGGAAGGTCAAGGCAACAGAAGTGCCAGAATGTGTTCTGGATACCTGACACTTACAGGTCTCCAAAGAGCCCCAGGGACAGTCAGTGGAGGACTGGACAGAGAAGATGGATGAAATCTTTCATTAGTAAACAGAGTATTGTATTGTGCAAGCCAAAGAGAAAATGGTTCAGGGAAAAAGGAGTATAGTCTGTGGGAGGGAACTCATGAGGTTACCAGGAAGGGGTGTGACATCCATTAGCTGTGGCCACGCGGGGACTAGAAGACCTGGACCAGGTGGTGAAGAAAGAAGGTCTACTAACAGTAAGTTCAAGAGAGGGTTGTGGGGGAGTGGAAATGAAAACTAGGGGCATTGACATGTTCTAGAATTTTCGATGTTTTGGAATGAAGAGCAGAGAAATGGCACAATGAATGAAGGGAGATGTGGAAAAGAAGGACAGCTCTTATGATTCAATTCTGGATTTGCAAGAGAGGGGACATGTTGGTCTGCTGATGGGAATGGCCTGCTAAAGAGGGGGCAATGGCAATGCAAGAGATAAGAAGAGAAAACTGCTGGAATAAATTACCCTCATATACAAGAAAGGATCTTATCCAGAATATAAATGGAAGTATTGACCTTAGCTATAACATACAGTGTGGTGTGCCTGAGCTGGGGATTGAGATGCTTAACCTCAGTGATTTCCTACAGGAGTGAGGGCCACCTCTGTTACTCACAGTGATTACTTACAAGATCAGGCAGTCAAATCTTGCTTAAAGTGATCATGTCTCCTATCATCTATTTTATTTTTGTTCTTAAATGATTCAGGATCCCTAATATGAGTGTAATGTTCTGTGTATTATAGAAAAAGTAGACTGATAGGCTATTTTCTCTTCAGCTTATCTTCGCAATAATATTAGCCCTTGTTTTATCCACACACTGTAGGAGATGCATTGATCAGGATCATTGGGAATAAAAGGTAAAGAGTAATTTGAGCAGGCAAGGTTTAAGTAAAGAATTTCCCACTATTCACATACAGGGGATTAGATACTAAAAAAGAAATGGGACAGAACCCTAGAGAATGCTCTGGGACTGAAAGGAATATACTCAAGTACGAAAAAACTAGGAAGGGTGTCACCATGCTAGGATTTGCACCTCAGTGGGTGGGGGTGACAGTCTAGTGGGTGGCAGGACACTCTTTTGGGTACCCTAGGATGGTCCACACAGCCCTTATTGGTCTCCCCTTACTTGGCGTGAGCTGTCTGGCAGGGCTGGGGAGCAGGATGCCTCCTCCAGAGTGCTGGTTAACTGGACAATGGGCTCGGCTGGACAACCAGGAATCCTCTATGGAGAACAGGCAGGACCAGACTGGCAACAAGACAGCCAAAGGCAAGAAACTCACATCACCAGAGGAAGTCTAAAGTGTGTGCAAGGAATGGCCACCAGAAGATGAGGGCCACTGTGTACAGTCCACCGCAGAAGCAGCAGGTGGCTTCTTCCACCTGCAGAGCCCCCTCCCCATGGCCCTGCTGCTGACCACAGAAGAAAGGTGATTTCATCCACCTCCAGTTTCACACGCAGGTCACTGAAGTGTAGACACAGAGCCAAGAGATAGTCGGGGATGGTACCAGCAATGAAATGTGACCTTGAACACAGTTATCGTGTTCATTACAGACACCCAGGGGTCTGAAGGGCTCTCTCATCTTCTAGCTATTAACCAGTCTAGAGACATGGCTTCAAATTGAGAAGGAGAATCACTGCATTTGGCTACATATTTACCTTTTTTTTTTCAAGCATCAATGATTTCCTCAGCTTCCACAATCAACTAGGATGGAATTTGAAAATGTAGGTGACATGAGACTTGCTGTCATAAAACTGAGGTATCAGAAGACAAGAGAGCCATCTGTCAGATCATCATCATCATCACAACATCCAGAGGAAAGTAAAACCCCCACGGTGCTGACTGGCATGAAGGAGGTTGTATTTTAGGGTACGTGTGAGGGTGGTACAGGTAGTGCTGACTGACAGCTTGGAGGCTTCTTTAGAGAGCTTACGGTTGTTAAGGTTTCTACTCAACCAGTTGTTGTGTGGCCTGCATTTAGAACTGGAAGAAGACCACCCCTGCTCAGGCGCCTTTAGGGAGAGATTCAGGGTCAAGGCAGGGAGGTGGGGACAAGCTCAGGAGCACCTCGTGAGCAACGGCAGGAGTGCATTCAGAGATACAAGGGTAGGAGGCTGGGACTGCTACAGGAAAGAAGTGATGATGTTTGTGGCTGGGAAGAATCAAAGATGTCAGTGTGAGACATCACTAGACTCGGTGCGAGCTGTTGTGAGATATTCTAGTGAAAATATGAAGATGGCTGGTGGTATATGGGCCTGCAGGTAAGCAGAGGAATTTCAGATGTTAGGTGGGGGCTAGGACCACATTCCATTTGCTTTTCTGACATCTAGAACATTGTCTGTCGCACATTAAGCACTCAGTGCATGATCCATGAATTATTAAATGAACACTCCTGGAAGGTTTGGCATCTAGCTGATAATTGCAGCCAAGGGTACTGATGTATTTGCCAGGAGGGATATTATAGACTGCAATTAGAAGTGGAGTTTGGATGGAGCCGTGAAGGGCCCCATTATTTAATGACTGATGGAAGAGGGTCAATTTCAGGAGTCAGAAGGATTGGTTAGAGCACAGGCTGGTTCATAGTGGTGACGTCTACAGGGAGCCAGGCAGTGTCAAACCTAGACGTTGCCCCTAAGACAGCAAGCGCAGAACCAGGAGGAGGACGGGCAGAGGGGAGGTGTGGAGATGCACAGGATGTGCTGACTATTCTCCATGAGAAGGGAGAGGATCGGCTGGGAGAGCAGGGGCAGGTGAGAGCCAGGTGGAGACCCTGAGCAGAGTCAAAAGCTCACAGGACGGAACCGAGACCAAGTGCAATATTTAAGGGGGAAAAAAAAGGCGACTGATAGGGTAATATTCCAAACAAAGTAGGAGAGAACCCTTTATTGCTACTCAGAGACGTGTTATTAGGTACAGTGTGAATATTCGGCAGGCTGAAGACACGTTTCTGCATCTGCTACGTGACTTTTGAATACTGTGTGAGGCCCTGTGTTTGTGAGAGAGAGTCTGCGGAGTATGCACATTCCCGCGGATGCCTTGAGACAGTGGGAGGATTCCACACTGGCAGAGGGACTCCAGCCTTGTTCCCATTTTATTTTTATTTTTCCTGCTGTTTGCTTCCATATGTTCTTTGTTGCTTAAAATGCCTCGGGAAATACACATTGTCTTTCTAAACAGTATCAGCATCGTTGATACATTAATGTTTCTTTATTTTTGGCTCTGACATACCTGTGTTAAGTGTGCCAAGCTCTGTGGTGCTGTAAGCCCACAAGTCCTCTGCCTTCCCTGGGGCTTCTCAGGACTCTTCTGTAATTACTTCTGGACACCAAGGGACCAATAAATTCAAATAAATAGCTGTTTATTCAAGGCATTGTTTGGGCTTTTTGACATTCTCTGTGATGATAAAAATATCCTCCTTCCCTTTTGCAGAGAAAAATAGCCTGGCTGACACAAGAAGCTGGTCATAATGATCTTCCTGAGAATTTGTGGAGTTCTACCACGTATGAATACAACTAAGTGGGAAGACGGGATGTGGTGCTGCCTGGGTTTCAATCCCCCTGTTAATCCCATACTCCACTAACCAGTGTGATGAACTGGATTAGGGGATGCAGTGTTTTACCCCCCATGGCGAAACAGATAGATAGATTTTTCTGGGTGAAAAAGAAGACACTAATAACTGAAGTGTGTGATGTTGTAAGTTAAAATTCCCATTTAATTGCAAAAGTGGGAAGGTGCGTACTGAGATCTACTGTAAGATGCAATTCATCTTACAGAAGAGTTTTGATGCTGATGCTTCTTTTGGAAATGAGATTTATTTCCAGGTGTGATGGTGTACTCCTGTCATTTCAGCAACTTGGAGGTTGAGGCAGGAGGACCGCATGTTCCAGCTTGCCTGAGCAATTAAGCTAGACCCCGTCTCAAGATAAAATAAAAGGGCTGGGATGCAGCTCAGTGGTAGCATGCCCTTGGGTTCAATTCCCTCAAATTAATTAAGGACTGCCAGAACAAAAATAATTTTTATGAAACAAAAAATAAAATGTTATTATTGGAATATCTTTCAAACAAGAACTGACCTGGTTTATTTAGAACTCACATTTATCATTAACTCTAATTTTAGCTTCTCTTTTCAAATAAGTTTAAACTGAGAGGAAATTATCAGAAATACAGCAGAGTTCACAGATACCCTGGCCTTGCTTGCACTGACAGGCTTCTGAAATAGCCACAGGACCCCACGGCAAACCACACAGGTGCACTGTTGACATTCCCACAGGTCTCTCCCACTTTTCCACTAACCCACTTTTTCAGTCCCGGGATCCACTTTGGGATCCCACACTGTCCTTATACGTCGTATCCCCTCCTCTGTCTTCATGGCCCACCTCCCTTCCTTCTTTCTTTTTCCCCTCATGGGTGTCCGGGCTTGGGAGATGGGTCTTTCCTGGTCCCTACCTTGTTACCAGTACTGGTGAGCTGTGCCTAGCATGCACAGAGCTTCACTGACCTTCTGTGTTTGCCAGTGGCTCTGTCGGGTGGAGATCAGCTGTGAGATCTTCAGGTGCACGGTTTGACCATGACTTGTGATTGGGAAGCAAAGTGGACCCTTGGCTAAGGTGATATGGTTCCTGGGTTTCTCTGCTGTGAAGTTATTGTTTTTTTTTTTTTTTCTTTTACAACTGATACGTATCTTGGAGAAAGCACCTGGAGATCCTGCAAGCATGTTGCTATTTTCCTGACTTTTGCCTCCCCACGTCAGCAGCCACCAGTGGCTCTTTCTTGCAACAACTATCTGGGTGCTATTCCAGCAGTATTTTCTGTTTACTTAATTCTAAAGAATGCATTCTTTGAAATGACTAAATCACTTACCTGTATCCAGGATGTGTGGCTAACTTCATTTTGTGAACTTAGAATCGGTATTTTGGCATTTAATTTGTGGCTCACACCCTTCCGTTGTTGCTATTGGAAGCTGTATCCAGGAGTTTCCTTCATTCCTTCCACCCTGCTGGCACCACTTTAAGAGCAGTCCCGACTTTATCATGCCTCAAGGTATCCCAGATACCCCACACCCATCTTTTGCTGTGATTGACCCATCAGAAATTCAGGCTGGGTGTTTTCTGTGAGTAGACTCAATGTTTTTCTACAAATATTGTGAATACAGATTTTAATATAAATTGTGACATAACAGTTAAATTGCTTTTAAATGTTTTTCCTCTCTAAACTTTGTAGTAATTAGAGTATTGGAAACTCATTTTGTCTTGACAATAACTTTAAGACCGCTAATAAAGTTACTGCAGACTATAAATGGATGAGGCAGATAAACCAAGGGACGATGCTTCCTATGACACCCAATGAGGAGTAAACAAAAGGAAGTTCCTAACTTTCCCACATGCAGGGTATAAGAAAATGCCAGGCAGAGAAGTTCAAATCAACCTTCACCAATTCATTCACACTCCTGATTGACACTTTGAATAGAGGGCTCAGAAAAGCAGTTTCTGATTTTAGGAAGAGTCAAGTCTAAATGCAGAAACATATCAATTGAGCTTTCAGAAAACATAATTACCAACTCTAAGGGCTAGCAATTACAATCAGAAATGGAAATTCAAAAGCAGTATCATTTAGAATACCATTAAAAACTTATACTTTAAGATGAAGTATTAGGAGTTGATGGTGGTGGCCAGAGACTAGAAGAAGGGAGTGGGAGCTACATGTATTTATCGGCCCAGAGCCTCAGGGCCACAGAATGGAAGATCATTACATTTCACACCACAGAACTGTACCCTTAAAAGTAACCTGGTGGTCAATTTTATGTTGTGTATATTTTCCCCAAATAGTGAAAACTGGGAAAAGGTATCATGAATCGAAGTATTTCAAAAGATTTTTTTTTTTCACTGAAAACCATAAAATAATGCTTGGGAAAATTCAGAAGACCGAATAAAATTACAAAATTAGTTTTTCCAAACCTGATCTAAATTAATGTAATTCCAAACAAAACTGTCAGTTCATGTGAAAATTGACTAACGGCTTCTAAAAATCCCATGGAGATGCTGAAGAGCTGGAGCAGTCAGAGAGCTTCGGAAAAGGACAAGGCAGAAGATCTGACATGACCTGGTCTCAAGACCTGCTCTGATGTTACCTTACATCCATGTGGTGGGCATGTGGACACAATGTGGGCCAGAGGAACAGGAGAGAAAGTCTAGAAATAGAACAGGAAGTACAATTTGACAAGGTTACAAAGCAGGGTAGTGGATAAGATATGCTGGTTTTCTACCACAAGAGCTGAACATCCATATAAAAATGAACTTCCGTGCTCTGTACCACATAAAAATCTTCATTCAAGTAGATTATTCCTGAAAATGTATAACTTAACACTGTAAATATCCCAGAGGAAAACATGGGAGAAAACAGTTGAAACTTTGACATTGGCCAGTTTATCTTAGAGATGGCACCCAAAACAGGATCCTGTGCTCTTCCAACAACACTGTTAAGAGAATAAAAGGAAAAAAACCCAGGCAAAAACATCTACTTGTGATTCTTAACATTTCGTGGCAGACTTGTACAGAATATGTAAAAGTCTCCAAAATCAATAATAAGAAAACAAATGGCCTGACTTAAAAAACAAATAATTTTAAAAGACATTTCATCAAAGAGTTTTTGAGTGGCATAATGTTTTCAGGAAAATAAAGGTATCAATTTCACCTTAAATTATACTTGAAAACATATTAAAAGCCTCGTAGCTTCTGCTCTAGCAGGTCAAGGGCACGAGTCACCAGCTGTATTCTCACAACAAGAAAAACGCCGAACGAACTCAACACAAACTCTTCTGGGATTCGTGAGAGAACTGGGGTCTGCCCACCTCCCTGAAGCTGGACAGACAGACACAGATCACAGAAGGAAAGCAGGGGAGCAGACTCCAAAGCTGCAGCCTGCAACTGGCAGGGGCACCTGTCCCAGAGCTGGGGCTGTGAGGCAACAGCTGAGATGGACACTCCCGCCACCTGCGGAGGGACCCAGAGTCTCCAGGCTTAACTCCGGGAGCTGCTCGAGGCTTGAGGAGCAGGAAACGGCCTCCGGCTTCTGGCAGGGGTGGGGGGCACTGAGCATATGCTGAATTGCTATTTCACAGAGCCCGCATGCCCTGGAGAAGGGAAATGCCCCACTTCACCCCACCTGCCCTGTCTGGTTCTCCTAAGGGGAGTAGGACAATTTGAAAGGTGTCACATAACAGAGAGTCACATAGCTAGAAATCAGGAGTGGACACAGTGATTGGTTAAGAGAATACTTTCTTCAATAAAAGACAGACACTGAATCCTGTACATACAAGGTCAAAGAAGACAAAGGAAGGTCAATAGCAAAACCACATAAACAAAACACCTGCATATGTTGTTTTCAATGTCCAGGAAAGGTGTGGTCTTCAAAGCACCCAGGAAAAGAAGAATATCTTGCAGAAGAAGAAGAGGAAGAGTTACAGAAGTCTTAGAAGCCATGCAGAAGAGAGGTGTGCCTGCATGCTAGTGCTTTGGTCAAGGACGGATGAGACAGTGGTCCTGTAGATCCCATCGCCTCAATGGTGGCCGGCCACCACCTAGTGTATGCACCACGCACAATGTTCACACAGTGCCAAAGAGCCCCCGAGGACACATTTGTCAGAACATGGCCCTGTCATGAAGCAATGCATAATTGTTTTTAAACTTTTAAATTTTTAAACAAAAATTCTGTATCTTCAAAAGTGAGGAGAACTAAGGGCTTTTTAAAACCAAAGTTGAGGTCATTTACCACTTAGGAAGATTGCTAGAATATTTTTTTTCAGAGAAGGAAAATCACAACAGTTTAAGACTTGTATTTGTCTGCATAAGGAAATAAGAGCTTTAGAAAATGGAAACATTCAGGTGAAATGTTATATGTACTTTTCTTGTCCTTAACTGATCAATCAAGTAACAGGCCCATTTCCCAAATTAATGTCAACTGTGCATGGTGAGTACAATGTGCGGCCCAGGGAGAGGAAGGAGAGCAATTTCACAGGGAATGAGAAGGAGTGATCCACTGGCTGTGTGATGTTAGGAGGGGCTGCACTCACAATGAAGCACTCTGGTGTTAGTTCTTTAGTTTTGTACATTTTTGGTCTTTAATAAGTGTTGTACTTTATAAAGTTAATAAAGTTTGTACTTTATTAAGTCTTGCACCTACAGAGGGGTAAAGAAAAACTGAGCAAGTGACACTAAATGAAGAACTTATCACTAAAGGCCAGAGGCCAAACTTGGGACTTAATTAAAAAAAAAAATCAAAGTGGCAATCTTTAAAGGCAGATACTCCCATGCGTGTGTCAGGGGCCAAGGTTTTCCCAATCAGTGCCCTCACCTTAGCTTAACAGACTTGCCTTAGCTGGTCACTCCCCTGGCCTGATAGTAAATCAAAACCCAAACTGCATCTCGGAGATGGTGAGGATGATCTCAAGGACTCCAAGGATGCAAAGGTGGTCCCCACCACATCTCCTTGTAACTCATCAACCTGGTACCTGATGAAACCAGGTAGACCCTGAAGAACAGGCGCAGACACCTGCCAGCTGAATCAGCAGCAGCTCTCACAGTGGCTGACATGTCTGCATGGCATCTTCTCAGGGAGGGTTCACGGCATTCGGCCATTGACTTGGTGAAGGTATACTTTTCCATCTTGATCACAAAAGATAAGGAGACAGATGCACTGGGTTCCACCTTAGGGCTGTAAGAAGTGGTTCTGTTCTCCTGGGAGACTTGAGTCTTCTGAACATCCTGTAGAGAGCCACATGGCTCTACAACATGGATGGCATCAGCCTGACCAGGCAGGATTAAGAGGAGGCAGAGAGCTCACTGGGACATTGGTACTTTGCTTTCACCCCATGATGACCCAGGGGCTTGTCATTTCAGTACAGTTTTTAGGAGTCTTGTGATCAGGATGTGCCAGGACATGACCTCCTTCTGTATAAGGAAATAAGAGCTTTAGAAAATGGATACATTCAGGTGAAGTGTTACAGGTGACTTTTGTAAAATTAGATTGCCCTTTATTACACCCTCTTCCACAAAGAAGGAAGTGGAGCC